AGGTTACGAAAAGAAAATTTACAGCCGGTGTCACCTAATTTTGAAAAATGGTCGAATGATTTTGGATAATTAAAAATGTCCATTTGTATTTTTCTAACTATTTGACAGGTTTGATTTTGACACTTTTACCTTTTTTATTTAGTTATTATTTTTAAAACTAAAATATCTTTTAACTCCTATTATCTCTCCTAGATTCTATTTCTCATTGATTCTTGTTTTCTTTCCAACAACTATTGTTATAAAMTTAATATGTAGACACAGAACTAACCAAATTTAAGGAGACATTGCACCGAGGGAGACAATCAGAGAGGAGACGATCGGAGCCAAGTTGAGTGTATGGTAAGGGAGATAGAAATCAAGCGAGAGAGGGACAAGATTTATTAAGCGATGCGACAAATTGATGGAATCGAGCGAGGGACAATGGTGGGGCAATGTGGTGGGTGACAGAACGAGTTGCAAAGAGAGAGAGGCCTATACATTGACTTTCTACAAATTGCTTTTGGTTTGAGGTAGAGTGCTTTATATTTTTGCATTTATTGATAAAAAAAATACAGCTTATTTCTTCACATTATTTTTTCCTCTGTTTACCGTATTTTTTTCTCTGTTCACCGTATTCACTATATTTGTTCCTCTATTCACCGTATTCACTGTATCTGTTCCTCTGTTCACTGTATTCACTGTATCTGTTCTTCTGTTCACCTTCATCGTATTTGTTCCTCTGTTCACCTTCACCGCATTTGTTTCTCTATTCACTTTCACCATATTTGTTCATTTGTTCACCTTCACCGTATTTGTTCATCTGTTCACCTTCATCGTATTTGTTCCTTTGTTCACCTTCACCGTATTTGTTCATCTGTTCACTTTCTGTTAAGAAACCTTTGAGAGTTGGATCTAAGAACCTTGATAACAAACACGACCCATAGATCTCAATCCTAAAAACCTCAAAAACAATTATAGAATCAACCTAAGGAAAAGTTTAAGAACATATTACCTTGATGATCAATATCAAGAGTAGAAAACTTGTTTCTAAACTCGTGATTCAAATCACTCCACAAGAGGTATGATCAACACCGCTTGAATGATCCTAACATACAAATTCTAAGGACACAAGAAATTGCACAAGAAATGGGAGATAAAGCTCTCAACCAAGCTAATGAGAAAACTCACTTTTCATTGAACTTCAAATTTTGTTTACAACAAGACATCTCAATGCTATATTAGCTATCCTAGGAAGCCATATGAAAAATCTTAAACAAATGGAAAGACTTGTAACTTACGAGAAATGAAAGGACATAACTTAAAAGAAATGAAAAGACTTGAAAATAGAAATGCATAACTTCAATAAATGGAAAGGAAAGCAAATGAAAAGGTTAAGAACATGGAGAGTTTAACAAAATAAATTGCAA